TGTGTGTGTGTGTGTGTGTTTCCTTTGTTCCTATTTTAGTTTTGCCAGATGTAGTCGATAACTATGTATTGTGTGAAACGCTCTAACCGCATATGTAGTGCGGAACTATTAACAAATAGGATTTTTTCTGAACGAGCTCGTTTAGAGAGTGGACGGTAGAGTCCAAGACAAACCAGAATGATTTCCTTGCTCTAGGTAAGCTCTCATTTTTTACGTTATACTCAGTCATTCTTTTCCCAATCTGCCTAGGTACGTTTTTTAAAATATATTTCTTGAAGAATAGCTTGAAGATTTTTCACTTTTGTCTTATTACTTGATCGTAGCGTAACCATAGGCTTTGTAAATTAATGCGAGGGAACGAATTTTAAGTGACACCGCGATTGTTTTTAGAACAACGATGTACAGTATTGAACTGAAATATCAACTGATATCTTGTATAAGGATGTTTGTGTTCTCATGTTTTTAGGGGATGTAATCATTAAAATTACCACATCCGGCTCGTACCGAACGCTGGTAATTCATCTTGTTACCGTCATCTTTAACTAGTCAACCACGCCTCGCTATTGCAACATTTGCCTTAAACCAGTCACTGTTTAATGGATACTGAATAGTGCAGCAAGACGCAAAAAAAAATATCGATTTAGTGCGGTGTGTGAATAATCTGCAAGTGAACTACGCGCCCTGTTCTGAACTGTTCTTGTCGGTTAAGTGAGTTTTAGATCTCGAGATGGACAACAACACACAGACTACAGACAGCGTCGACAGGTCCGACCTGGTCTCTGAGGACGGGAAGAACAGTAAGTCTGTTCTATGCCAACGATGCGGATCCAAGGTGCTGTCGCCGGGAATGGCTGTGTTCGCGGAGAAAGAGGTCAGTTGGTTAGAATAGAATAATCAAAGCACAGTAGTTGCATTAGCCCACGTCAGAAGCAGTGCGATCAATCATTCAGTTTTGTTTGCACCCACTTTTAGGAAACGGACAAGAGGGACATTAAAATTAAATTTTGCATAGTGGGTGACAGTAAACAGCGCGGTGCCCTATTGATTAGAACGTTTGCCTCACAGTTATGAGGGTAGTGGTTAAAATTTCGTCTGTGGCCTCCCTGTCTGGAGGTTCAATATTCTCCCATGCTTGCATAATTTTGTTTTCGGGTTCCGCAGTCTTCCTCCTACATCCCCCAAGCATGCATTTTAAGTTAGCCGTTGACTCCAAATCGGCTGAATTCCTGCTTGTGTAAAGATCATTTTAGAAAATTATTGTACACTGTACCAGGCCAAAATTACAGGAACTCCGTTTGGAAAACCATGCAGTGTTTAATGTCACGATTACATTTATTGTTCTGACTATGTAATAATGACTGTTTATGACAATAGAGGTACAGGGAGTAATAATAGTCCATAAAGAAAACTTGTCTTTGCAGTTTATGTAAATACTGGTAATTATTGCCGAAAAGCAATGAGAATAACACTGCACCTTGACAAAAAAAAAAAAAAAGACTGCCTACATTTCTTAACGATTGGTGTTGTAGAACTGTTTTAATAAAAAAATCTTCAGAAATACGTTGTCTTTGTATCCGTAGGATGCAATATATATGTAAATTTGATATTTATCAGCTGCTCTTGTGGTGAAGTGGCACATGCTGCCAGAGAAGGTGCTGGTTTGATTCCCAGCCGTGGCCCATCCCAAGGATGAATACCAAATGGGTGGGCTTTGTCATGAAGGACATATGGTGTAAACGTTGTCTTAAATAAATCATGTGACTGACTTCCGTAGGGCAAGATGAAAGTCACAACTGTTTAATATTCATCAGCTTAATCTCGGTCGGGGAGCTCTACAAGCTATAATGACAATAGGTTCTCATACAGTACTTAAGCTTTTATCATCCTCAGATAACACCATAACAATCACATTTTGTAGTCAAAGCATCACACAGCGCCTCAAGGCTTTCTGTCCGGATCGCACTGGGCAACTCTTGAGGGCACTTTGTGACTGAGTTGGAAAGGGCTCCGCAAAACTTGGATGAAATAATGGTCAGGGTGAAAGAACACAATGGCTCAACACATCTAACATTTGACTGCCTGATACATGGCACTAAAATTGGGAAAGTCACAAGTTCAACATGTGTCACATCAGTGTAAGCCAATTAAAAACTTTACCTTAAAGTCATATGAGCCACTGAAAGAACCACTTTACATAAGCCACGAAAGAGCTTTATATCATATAACAATATATCAATGCATAAAGAACACATAGGAAATAAATATTTTGCTAAATTATACTATGGATGGAATGTGAGGCGGGAGGGGAGGCAGAGGGGCTTCTATACCAGGAATATGGGACTTGAGTCTTTCTTCCAACCCCTTCATAATTTTTCAATAACAAACTTAAAATCTTCCAAATGCATTTGAGAAAACATGATATGGTTCAAAGAAACTAAGGTTGAGTTTTTTGGCAGCCTTTTTTTCTTCATTTAGACCTTGGACCTTTTACAAAGTGGAGGGGATGAACAGTTTCACTGTTTGCACAAAACCGTCAGGCTTTGAGGAAAAAAAGATGCCAGGAAAAGTCTACTCGAACATCCAAAATGTTTTTGTGTTAATCAGAGACACTTCAGATTGTGACAGTTGTGTGTTGACTCCCTCCTCATGTAAGATTGAATGTGATTTGTTAATTCTGAATAAAGTCACACGCCTTGTAATAAGAGGGTGTGCACACTTGTGAAAACAGATTTTCTCAACTGTTTACTATTGTTTTCCCCTCTCGCAAAAATTCTTCTTTTTCAGTTGAGTTGTACAGTTTGTAGGTCACATTCATGTTGGGAAAAGTTTCACACTGCTTTTTGGTGTCCTTGTTTTAATATCGCCACTATGCCTGTTTTCTCAGACTCGGCATTGAGTTGCTTTTACAGTCTGTTCTATCTCTCAACAGTCATTTCAGCCATGCCCATGCCTCCTCCATGTTAAAAGCATGATGCGGCTTGTATTAGATCATGAGCTGTTCTTTTCCTCCTCTTTTTTCTCCGTGTTTTTTCTCATCCTTTCATTCTGATACTACTTGACCTTGGTTTTTATCTGTGCACAGAATGTGATTCCCGAACGTGGAAGGCTTTTTAGATGTTTTCTGGCAAAGTCTAATCTAGGTTGGCCTGTTCTTGACCCTGACAGTTGGTTGACACACTGTTCTAAACTCGCTTATTGTTACTATGGCACAACGCAAGGCTTTTGGAAGGAAAAGAAATGGTCTTCAGTGGCCAAGTCAGTGGGACTTACGAAAGACAAAAGTGAAGGCAGAGATCCATGAACAAGAGGCAAGTGAAGGTGACTGCAGTGAGGTGCTGTTGTGGAAAAACTCAAGTGTCACCGAACCTCCCCTCAAGTGACCCGACCTTAGTTTTTTTCAAGATACGAAGCTGACATTCGGGCGATTTTTTTTTTTTTTTGCTTTGACTTGTGAGCATCCAGATGTGAGCAATGTATAGTGACAATGAACTAAACTCAAAATATGACAACTTTTTCACCTTGAAGCGTAAGAAAAATTGTCTCTGTCATTCTGAAGTCACTTTGTGGAGTCATTTTTTTCCATTTCACAAATCCATGCTCATCATGCTCCACGGTTTCAAAGATGAGCACATTTTTGATTGGAGCTGTGTTGTTTTCTCATTTCAGCTTATCCTGCCATCCATGCGTAAAAAGAGCAATCTCAGCGCCACAGAGGACTCAGTGGACAGGGACACACTGACCGCCCACTGGTTAGTGGGTGATATGTTCGATTTTGAGAATGTGGGCTTCACTAATGATGTCGGAAGAATCAAGTATCTCATTTGCGCTGACTGTGAGATCGGACCCATCGGCTGGCACTGTTTGGATGATAAGATAGGTTACTATGTTGCAATAGACCGAGTGAATCATGCCTAGTTTTAAAGCGTAATGAAACACAGAATGAATTGTAAAATAAATACAGTTTATGTGCTGGATGGCTTTACTGTCAGAGCTGAGCCTTAAAAACACATATTGGATTGATAAACATGTCTCTACTGTTTCTTTTTGTCACACAGACCATTGTACCATTGTTGTACTCTAATAAAAATATTCAACTTTCACACTTTTAAAATTATGTCTTGTGCGTAACCTGAAGGTCAAGATTACTTGTGTGACTGTATTATACATTAATCAGGTACAACATTACGGCCACTTACACAATATGAAGAGATCCAATACAAGACTAACTTACCGGACACAGCACAGACAGGTTCTATACTGCTGCAAACTACCACAACAAGAATTATCTTGTTTAATTTATACCTCTGGCAGTGTCAACATATATATTATGGTATATTATTATTTTACATTATTACATTTGAGGAGGCAGACTATTTATTACAGCGCTCATACGGTGCTGTGGCTTATTGGTGTGTTAATTGGCATATTTTGGCCGGGAGAAATTATTAGAAACTTAAGTACAATAATACACATTTTAAAATTAACACTTCTGGATTGTATTTCAGCACGTATATTACCAGCACCTTGGGAAATGAAATATTTGTTTTTGTTTTTTCCATATTGAGCTATTATAAAATGTTTCAGGAGGATACTGTAAGATAGCAAATTTCAAATATGTAAAAAAGAACAATTTATTTGTTGTTGAAGGTGTAAAGTAATCTGCATACCACTTGGGGTCGTCATTACATCGTCGTAGCCGTTATAGCTTATCTGAACTTGAGGTCATTGTTGTCGTTTGTTTGCTGTGATGCTGTCAATCAAATGGTTAGTTTACGCCCGTTTGGCTCGATTTGTTATTAATAACAATGAACAGTCCATGCTAAACACACACACACACACACACACACACACACACACACACACACACACACACACACACACACACACACACACACACACACACACACACACACTTGTTATAGATGGTAGATGGCAAAAAAAAAATATGCGTGTGTGTGTGTTAAGCATAAATAGCATTCATATTTAAATATTAAAAGAACCGCTATACTATGGATTGTGCCTACCAATCGGTGGGCTCCTCTCGACCATTTAAAAACAAAGATCCGGTCGAAGCGGATTGATATGGTAGGTGTGTTCGATTTGAGTACCATGTCATTATTTCGACCCAGCCGGGCGGAGTTAGACAGTGTCCAGCCAACCCATCGCACTTGCTCGTAAACTAACGAAGCCTCCATGTTTCATGGTGTCTAAACCAAACCTTTACAACGGGAGTAATCGCCAAAAGCAAAGCACGTAATCAATCATCCTTAAATAGAAATATATTGGGTACAAAGGACTAAGCAAGGGTTAACTTCGCCAAAGTTAATTTCGTACGGTTTTGAAATAACCTGACATGACGTTTAAAGTATGCAATCCGAGCCTCGCGAGTTACTTGGCGTTTTTGTGTTATTATTCGATTAAAAACTTTAAATTGTACATTAACACGGTTTAAATAATACTAATAATACTTAAAAGTAACGTCTGTGTATAATTAGGTCATTTTTCGACTGCGAAAACGTTCATAACGAGTCATTTCTGGGTATCTACTTTTTGGAGCGGAAGCACATAGCTCTGTCAACCTATGGCTTTCAACTAGATAATTCCCCTTTGAGTTGAATGAGTGGAGAATGGATACGGACTGAAATCTGGATTACAAAGCGAACAAATTGAGTGTGAGCAACCCATTGGGCATCACTGAGCGAGCATCACAACGAAGATGCAAGAATGACTCAATCTCATCTAAATGAGTTCATTCCTCCCCCGGAGTGTCCTGTTTTTGAGCCGAGTTGGGAGGAATTTGCTGATCCTTTTGCCTACATCAACAAAATACGACCCATTGCAGAGAAAACTGGCATCTGTAAAGTCCGACCGCCACCGGTGAGCTTCCCTTAATATTTGGCTCAATTTTCAAGGGCGCTTGGCCAAGGGAGAGAGCGTCAAGTCCCAGTCAAAGTTATGTTTTTTTAAGACAGCTTTCAACATGGCGGAGTGGGGGCTCGAGAGTTGAATTGTCAGCTAGCTGTGTGTTCTGTTTGCTAACCTTCTAACGTAACCGCTCGACGAGCCTTTCAGCTCGAAAACACCCAAGTGTAAATGTAATTTCGACGCCCCACACTGTCAAACATTCGGTCACAACGTTATATGAAAAACAGAAGGGTTCAGCGTTTTATACATGCAGTAATCATTGATATTGTTTACATGAAGGCAAAGTGATCTAACTGGACTGGCGTCATACATTTCCAGTATCTTGGCACCTCCTGGCTTCAAAACGTGTTTGTTTGCTCGTTTCAATTCGATGGGTTTGTATGTCTTGTTTTAGTTTCGAAGAATCGCCTGTCCGGTGCACAGCGACGGTCCTGGCATCGCTACGTGCTAGGGGACCAACTGTTTATGGAGAGAAAGAACGCTTTATCACAATGGCCGCACTGTTCACCCCCACCCCCCTCTTACTATTAAAATAAACAGCGAACATATTGTCATTTGTCAACATTTACTGTTAGAAGTAGGCATCGCTTTTGCTTTTTGTCTTGTAGCTTTGCTGACTTTGTTCCAATTGGATGATAATTGTGGCTTCAGTCCCCCTTGCTTAACTTGAATATTGGCCAAACGCGGAGTCTTTGAACACAGCACGGACTCATCTTTCAGGTTATTTCGCTAACTTTATTCGTCATGGATTGTGTTTGGCATGAGCCGTAGCTTTGTCAAGGGTGTGTCCGCGCCTTATTAGTCCACTAATGCAATAAAGGCCCAAATTGGACTGAAATAAATTGACAAACATACACGCGCTTGCTTTTATCGAAAATATAAATAACAACGTCCGGGGTGTTACATAATTGAATTTATTTAGAGGACTGAAATGCAAGTGTTTCACGGGTCGAATGGGATGATCTTTATGAGCTGACATCAGGAAATGGCTGGTTTAGTGTTGATTAGTCAACAAATGTACAACATATATTGTTCACTTAGTCCGTTGGGGAAAGATAGTGTTCGATTCAGATTGGTGCTGTCAAAGGATGATCAAATGTCCTTTTATTAGGTCATTTACAGTGCCGTTCGACGTTCTCAGTTTGTCTATGCACAATAGAGGGCTAACGACTCTTGAGGCCTCGATGCAAGTAGCCCGTATTATACTGTATTGTTTTCAAAATGTTCTACAACAAAGATGTGTTTGCTGTTGTTAAGTCGTTTCTGGTAACTACACAGTTCAGGTTAGTGCTTAAAAATGTCTGCTCTAGACTTAGGGCACATATACACTCCTTGGATGCAACATCAAGCGCTACCATTAGACTCTACTTTTCAGTGTCTTGAGTAATATTTATTGATGTATTTAACATTGTTCATTATTGTGGTTCTAATTTGCAGTATATGTTTACTGTACTGTATATAGGGGGTTCCTTTTTTTGTTACCTCTCTTTCGCTTCATGAACGGATGAATTTATTTGAAAACCATTTCAAACTACCACAAATCATGCATCTTTGTCAAGGCAGAAATTCAGAGTCAATTTTGTGTTTTGGCTGTCGCATGAATGTAGTAACCGGTATAGTTGCCCCTTTGCCAAGCACTTTCTAACACTGTATCTGAATATTTATGTGGTCAACAATGTGTCCGTTTTTGATCAAAATTGTGAAGGCTTTTATAAACATCTAATTACAGGTGAAACTTAAAGGAAAAAAAGTGAAGAACTGTCTAACTCCATGGCCATTTGTGTTTTTATGAATTCCTCAGAGAGGCATACTTAATGGATAAAAAATATGATGCATTAATCAAACAAATCTGTTTAGTTTTGATCATGTAGAGATAAAGTATTGAAACCAAATCATGATACTCTTAAAACAGTGCACCCCAACTGTGGGTTAGCAGACCGTTTGGCGCCGCACAGATAGCTTGAGGGGGGGAAAAAAGTTGTTTGCCTTTTTTTTTTCTTTGTAGTGGCGCAGCTAAGTCCCAATCTGTAATGTACGTTAGCACCCCTGACTCAAGATCCACCCCACTCCACCTGGTCCTTTAATGGTCTGCAAAAGAAAAATCTGGTGCTACCTTGAAAAGAAAATAGACCACTCTCATAGACAGCAACCTGTGTCGCCTTTGTAATGGTAGAGCAGTGACACGCCCGTTCCAACTCCCAATTTGCGCTTCCAGTCCAGACTAGAAACAACCATATGAAAGCATAGAGGTACCAAACTTCATATATATATTTTTTTATCATATAGATACTCTTTTACTTGTCCACCACATATCCATTCAGAGGTATGCAGTCGGGTTAGCATGTAAGAGTTGTACTGCGTCGACTGGTTATTTATATGAACAAAGTTACACCACTGCTTTTGTGTGAGTATGCTGCTAGCTGGTTAGGTGGCCTCTTCTTTGTTGGTTTAACCGCTTCTTCTTCGTGTTTGGGGCCGGCTGCACGCTGCCCTCAACACATACAATGCCATATTTTTTTTCTCTCCAGATTTTTTTTTCTGTTGAATATTTTATCAAAGGCATTTTCTGTTGATATCAATCATGTGTCTATCGCGATACATATTGAATTTTAATTATTGCCCAGCCCTATTATTTCAAATAAAATTATGTAGTAGGGGCTGAACCGGGGCTAAACAAATGTCTGCCTATATAAATGTTATGTGGGATGGTGGGTCAAAAATCAAGATATGAATCAAATCAGAATTTTGGTGTTTTTTTCCAATCCTAATTATTATTTTGCATATGGGTAAATTTTTGGGCCCATTGTTGAGGATTCATCCTATATTTTATATGCGTTCAGAATTACATCGTGGGCTGGGTCAAATGCTTTTTTGGGATCTTCAGTCAATCCATCAAACTAATTTTTATTGATTTTTATATATAGCACCTCTCATGTTGAAAAAGCAACAGAAAATAGGCTGTCACAAAACAAAGACAAACACAAATCTCCCATCCACCTTGTGACTTGCATTAGTTCAACTGCAACAGGGACATGTCGATGCACACCAGATTAAACTTAATTAGATGAACCAGTTTACAGAACCATTTCTTTACACAAATAAATATTTAGCACAGGGACATACAGTATGCAGTATAAAGCATTTTCATGTGAAACTGCTCTTATTTTCTCTGCTGCGCTGTCTCAACACATTACCAACAGCAGCATTTGTGACATTTTGCAGGAAGTTTTGTGGTCTAGTGTAAGATATGTTGGTGACGCAGAGAGAATAGTCACAGTGCTGTCAGTAGTAAATGGTGTTCAGCTCACCTCATTAGTGAATAGGAATTTTGGCTTTTGCTTGTTTTGTGGATGGGATCAGCATGTATGATGGTGAATTATCGAAACTGATAAAATTGGTCCACTTAATTACTCAAGCAAGAAAACAATAGGTTGATTATTCACACAGCCTCGTTGTTCTAGTGTTCAGAAAATATTCAAATAGAGCATGCAAAAAAGTTGCGTGTTCCCTGTGTGTCATATTTCCATGTAACTTTAACATTTATTTTTTTTCATCCTAGGAATGGCAGCCACCATTTGCCTGTGATGTTGAAAGATTGAAATTCACACCACGAATTCAAAGGCTCAATGAGTTAGAGGTATGTTCATGAAACTACGTACGTTTATGGCGAAGTTAGTGCATTTTACCAATCGGACTTCTTTGATTTTTTTAGGCTCAGACGAGAGTGAAACTGAACTTTCTGGATCAAATAGCAAAGTTTTGGGAGCTTCAAGGATGCACTCTGAAAATTCCTCACTTGGAAAGAAAGAGTTTAGATCTCTACCAGCTCAACAAGGTATCTGCAAATTGTACACGCCCCCACAACCCCCTCCCATAAACTCCCCCTGTACCAACACACACACACACACACATTCACATTTATCAATGTGAACATTTCCTACAAATCCCCTAAAAAACTACTTTTGATACTTTGTTGTTCAGCTGGTGAATGACGAGGGAGGTTTCGATGCCGTCTGCAGAGAGCGGCGCTGGACTAAAATCTCCGTCAAGATGGGCTTTGCTCCAGGCAGGGCGGTGGGCTCTCATCTGCGGGCGCACTATGAGCGAATCCTCTACCCCTATAACCTCTTCCAGACCGGAGACAATCAGCCTGTATGTCCCACCGCAAAGTGTTGTTCTTTGTTGTGACCATGTTCACTTTTGGGGAGACTGATTTCTTATTTAGGGTTTGGCCTTATCAGCTTCGTTCTCATGGCCGATGTCCCACATGGCACGGTATCACTGTCAGCAGATGACTCTATCACACGGCGTGGTTTAGGATTAGTGCTTACAGTGTTATAAAATGCAATGTAACACAGTATGGGTTTATACTTTAGTGGATCGAGGGTAACTCAATTGAAAACTAAACGTGCATTTTTCTGCACCATGCTCACCTTTTGCATTCATTGCCTCCCGCCCGCCAACTTCTGCCTTTGCAGAGAGCCACTTTGACCAACGACACTAAGGATAAGGTGTACACCCCACATGACCTGCCGCAGCGTCAGTCTGTGCAGCCTCAGGAGATATGCAGCATCGCTCGCCGTGCAAAACGGATGAGAGCTGAAGTGAGTGTGGTCTGCCCGACTCTTTCTATATCGGTTTAGCCTTTCCTGTTCCTCTTTGTGTCACGTTTCCTTTTACTTATATTGCTCAATTCTGCAGCGAGGCTACTTTAAAAGCGAAGCCGGGGAGGTGCGCAAAAATCGTCCAAATCTCAGGAGGAGAATGGGAACGTATGTTGCCAAGCCAGAGCCTGGTAAGAGCAAGCGATTTTAAGTCGTCGATACGAGTATATAGTGAAGCTTCAAAGCCCCCCCAATTGATAATTCATCCATGTGTTTCAGTGAGCATGTCGGTGAAAGAGGAGACTGGGGAATATTCGATTACAGAAAGTTGTGAAGAATATGTTTTAAATAACAATAAAAATGGTACAACGAGTAAAGTAAGTATCTTGTAGTGTACGTACAATGACCAAAATGACCACCATAGTTCTTTTTTTTTTAGTGTTTGAAAGCAAATGTTTTTTCTGCCTACTCAGGTGGAGCAATACATGTGCCTCGTGTGTCACAATGGAAACGAGGAGGACCGCCTGTTATTGTGTGATGGCTGTGATGACAGCTATCACATTTTCTGTCTCATCCCCCCGCTACATGAAGTTCCCAAAGGAGACTGGAGATGCCCCAAGTGCCTAGCGCAGGTGAGGCGCAGCTTCACTACCTTTGGGGGACTGGTCCTGATGTAATACACAGCTTGTGACTGGAAACAAATGCAATTTAGTTTAAAATGTGTTTTTGTCTTTAATTTGCAGGAATGCGGCAAACCTCAGGTCGCTTTTGGCTTCGAGCAGGCCAGCAGGAGCTACACCTTGCAAACCTTTGGAGACATGGCTGATTCCTTTAAGTCGGATTATTTCAACATGCCAGTTCACGTGAGTGGGGCTGTCTTGTTTGCTTGTCTGTGTACACAATTACACACAAATTACAGGGACACTTGGAACTGAAGCTGGGGGAGGCCCATGTGGACAAAATTGATCATATAATACTAAGAGATATAATTCAGTTTAATTTACAATGGCATTGATCAAAGCCTCCTATGACTTGGAACCGTTGCTAAGTCTTGTCTGACATTTTGCCACCCTCTAGAAACTCTCCAATTGTCATAACCAGAGAATCTCAATGACTTGATCTTTTGACATGTTGCAGATGGTTCCGACTGAGTTGGTGGAGAAGGAGTTTTGGCGTCTAGTCAGCACCATTGAAGAGGACGTGACTGTAGAATATGGAGCAGACATTGCCTCCAAGGAGTTTGGGAGTGGTTTCCCTGTGAAGAACGGCCATTTTGAAGTGTCTCCTGAGGACGAGGTACAAGCTGTAGTTACTATGGCTATCATCTGGACTGCAATAGATACACTACGAGAGCAGCATTTGTATAATATTTCCCCTCCATAGTGGAGTCTAATACACTTCCTTTGGAACATTCATAATTTGACAAGTTATTAACTGTTGTAATGTCATATGTTAGTCGTAGAATGGAGTGCTGCAAGGCTTTATCAAATAAGATATATGTTAAACAATACGTATCTCACTGGTAGCTAGAAAATGACCACTACCACTGTATCATCTTTCAAACCAAATGATGTCGGGTGGGCTAGGCCATAGTTTTGAGACTTCCTCTGTTTTACAGCATTACCTAACAAGTGGCTGGAATCTTAACAACATGCCTGTGCTGGATGCCTCAGTGCTGACTCACATTACAGCCGACATCTGCGGAATGAAGTTACCCTGGCTGTATGTGGGCATGTGCTTCTCCTCCTTCTGCTGGCATATTGAGGACCACTGGAGCTACTCCATCAACTACCTTCACTGGTATGCTTTTATAGTACAGTGTGTCTTGTGAAGTTGAAGAGATTTGTTTTTTTTCATGAGTGATTTAGCCTTGTTTCAATAATTATGTGTTGCATTTTTTAAAATTATGATGATTATTATTTTTAAATGAGGCAAGTTTTCTCAAATTAACACACAATTTACTCTGTATTGCTAAAAATGTTTTGTTTTTCTTTTTTTACTTTTTGGCCGTGCAGGGGTGAGCCAAAGACCTGGTATGGGGCACCATCTTATGCTGCAGAGCACTTGGAGGGGGTCATGAAAAAACTAGCTCCTGAACTATTTGAGTCTCAGGCAGACCTCCTTCATCAACTCGTTACCATCATGAATCCCAACACGCTGATGAACAACGGCGTCCCGGTAACTAGCTCAGTGCTGCGACACAATTTTTAATCCTCACATCAACACAGGAACAAGTGTGACGGGTCTCAGACAAATCTGAACTTAGTAGTCACTTGACAAAAATGCTAGTTGTTATTTCTGAGATACTCGTATTTGGGTCGTGTTTGGATATGATTCATGCCACTGCAAAGTACAATTGCAATAATAGATATGTTTAAATTGTAATCTCTCTTGACCGTGTCAAGTGTATTAGTTACGGTTAAATTGTGCAAGCACACCCAATGAGCATCTAAATACAATTCCAAGAAGTGTTTATTTTCAACGTTTTTCCCCATCTTTCTGGCTTTCTCACTAGATCTATCGCACAAACCAATGTGCAGGAGAGTTTGTCATCACCTTCCCCAGAGCGTACCACAGTGGGTTTAACCAAGGTTTCAACTTTGCTGAAGCGGTCAACTTCTGCACCATGGATTGGGTAAGGCACTCACCAGGAGTTCAAATACTGCAATTTAATTGGGACTCAATTTTTAGCCTTTGTTCTGTCATGATGTCCAGAGGAGCCTGCAAAGCTCCTACAACAACACTTCCATATTGACATGTAGAAATGTAGCAATCAAAGAATACAATGAAAACAAATTGGCTACAACAGTGTCTTACTTTAATGAATGCCAATTTCTTGTTAGATGCCTGTTGGCCGAGGCTGTGTGAAACACTACCGCCAGTTGAACCGCTATTGCGTCTTCTCCCACGACGAGATGGTCTGCAACATGGCCTTCAAGGCAGATACATTAGATGTGGAATTGGCTTCCGCCGTGCAGAAGGAGATGGATGCCATGGTCCAAGAAGAAGAGGAACTTCGAGAGAAGATTAACAAAATGGTGACGAGATCTAGATTTTCATCTCCAATTTTTAATTGCTTCGTCCAGCATTACAGAGCTAATGGGGCACAATGCATCTAGTCACACCAAAGCATGTTGATAAGTAGAATGAAACCACAACTTCCATTTTCAGGAAACACTGAACCCCCCCCTTTTCCTTTTCAGCTCTAATGACTGTGAATCTATATCCACAGGGTGTGGTGCAAACACGGCAAGTAGATTATGAGCTGCTCCCTGATGAGGAGCGTCAATGCTGCAAGTGTTGGACCACTTGCTATTTGTCTGGCATTACTTGTGCCTGCAGACCCGGCAAGGTGGTCTGCCTGTACCACGTCCAGGACCTGTGCTCCTGTCCACTTGACAACCTAATACTCGAGTGAGTGTTAAGTTTCCACAGCAACCGGATCCGATTTTTTTTTTTTTTCTTTTCCTACCTTCAATTAGCAACCTGCTCCCTCTGTATATACAGGTCAGAAAACAAACCTGCAAAAAGTGATTCATTTTCTTCCAAACAACTTAGAATTAATCAAAACTGCGTTTACATAATTGCCTCTGCAGGTATTGTAAAGTTGCCCTATAATTGAGAAATAAAATATGCCATTATTATTTTTTTTTTAAACGTAAAAATGATCCAAATTTGTCATGTTTGTATTTTTTTTTTGTCCATTTTATTTCAAGTTGCAGTGTCTGTAGAATGACCAAGTTGTTCAGCTTGCTCCAAGGATAGTGATGGAAATGGTACTTTAGAAGCCTGCCTTTTAATCTCCGGCCTTACTTTTTCCTTAGTTACAAATTTACACTGGATGAATTATACCCCATGATGGCAGCGGTGAAGCTGCGTGCAGAGTCCTATAAGGAGTGGCTGTGTGCTGTGCAGGGCATTCTGGAGAAGAAAGAAAACCACAAAAGAGGTGAAATTCATTCAACAACAGTCGGCTTATTCTGATCAAAACTCGGGACAAATGTCTGAAATGTTTGTGCAATTTTTAGATGCGCTAAACGAATGGTCTTTGTCCGGTTAGGTCTGGAAGAGCTTCACAACCTGGTCGAGCAGGCCGAGACAAAAGGCTTCCCACAAACCACCCTCTTGGACCAGCTGCGCGCTGTTGCTGTCGAAGCTAATAAAGTCGCTGTGGTGGCCCAACAACTTCTCAATGGGAAGAGGCAGACGAGGTACCCATTTTGTCTACCTGTGTGATTTTAAATGTGAATGGACACGTCCGCGAATATTAGTTACATGACAGAGTAGACTATTCATTACTTCCGACATCATAGCTGCATGCACTTCATTACCCTAAAACACGACCATAGACAAGAAAAATTACTTGAGCAAAATGCCTCAGATGGGCTTGGCTGCATGCTCTCTTAAGTACTGTGGAGGTCCATTAAGGCTGCAGCTTTTATCCTCGCCGGAGTTTTGTAATCATATAGAGTAGCATTTGTGCTACCTCTCAACACACTAATGGTAGTATGTTTTACACCGCAGTTATGAAATATTTTATATATTTGTAGCTGTCCCTCCGAAACTTGTGTCCTTTTGATAATGTTACAGGTATCGTGCTTGCGGAGGGAAGTCTCAAAGCCAGAATGAGTTGACCGTGGAGGAGCTGCGATCCTTTGTCCAACAGTTGGACAGCCTGCCATGTAACATCAGACAAGGACCTTTACTGAAGGTGTTCAACAATTAGTTGTAGAGCTTGACTGCGTCTTTTAATCTGAGAACCTAAGTACATTTGCTTGTACCTTTTCAGGACCTGCTGACAAGGGTTGACGAATTCCAACAGCGCAGCGAAAGGCTCCTCTCTGATGATTGTCCCAACTCGGTCGAGCTTCAGGAACTGCTTGATCTGAGCCTGGGCCTTGATGTCGAGCTGCCCCAGCTGCCTCTGCTCAGGGAGAGACTAGAGCAGGCCCGTTGGCTGGAGAGCGTGAAGCAAGCCAACAGCAGGCCTGACGACCTCTGCCTGGACACCATGAGGAGGCTGATCGACCAAGGGGTGGGTTTAGCCCCTCACAGCTCTGTGGAAAGAGCCATGGCTCGTCTGCAAGAGCTCCTGACGGTGTCTGAGCAATTGGAGGAGCGAATGCTCGGCCTCATGAAAGCCAGGTGAGGACAAAGGCACGCTCATGTTTGCAAGCCAAAAAATATCAGTTTCGCAGCCATTGACTACCTGTGTAATGGGTTATATCTTGATACTACTCGTCAAATATTTCACATGTAAAAGGCATTGTCTAAAGTTTACAGGCATTTTTTTCTTGAACTATTTTGTTTGAATGTATTTTTCATGGATAACAAAAGATCCATTTAGGTTTCATGTATGTCCTAGTAGTAATATCTTTTTAATAGAAAAAAAAAATCAACTTAACTTTGATCACAGATCTCCCCTTTTGGACCTCATAGTATTATTAATTTTCTCGCCCAGCTGTTCTCTTACCAAGACATCAAGAAGCTCTATGTACATTCCCATCATTTTTGCATACCCCCCAGCTAACTTTGCACATTTTATAGAGTGTTTCTATTCAGCAAAGCAAACAAAAGAAACGTAATAAATAATCTTCTTGTCAAATTGCCAATGCTGTATTATGCTGGCACAGAGAGATGCAGCAGTTGAGAAAAAAAAAAGTGTCAGGTAAAAGTTCGAAAGACTTAATATTATTTAATACATTAACTCTTTCTTTCCACAAGACGTACTTGTACGTCTTTTTAAAATTAGGCCCCGCCTGCCAAGGACGTACTTGTAGTGTAAGTCTTCTTTTTGCCTCATAGAGAGGAGGAGGGTCTGATGCAATCTGTGAATGAGAATAAGCAGTTTGCATTGTAAATCATGTAAAAAAGCGACCAGTAGGTGGCAGTGGTGCCTCACGTGATTGAAATGCATGCTTTTACAAAAAGCTCTTTTTCTCCGTTTTTTGCCCAGGAATCGCCATTTCCGTGAAACTTTGCCATTTTGTAATGCCAATTGCTGAAGAAGGGAAAAAGATAGAAACATTTTTTTTTCTGCTGAAAGAAACTTTATTTTGGTAGGCTCCATGTTTATGTAGCACTAGAACCAAATATTCTGTGGGCCTTGCAAGATCATTCAAAATCCAGTAAAACGCTGGGATTGAGGGGGTTGCTCCAGTGAAAATGGCTGGGATTGAATGAGTTAATTGATCGTTTTTGTTCATCTTCTCGCAGTCCGTATCACAGTATAGAAACACTTGATGCTGCTTCAAAAGAAATGGAAACTATTCCCGCGTATCTGCCAAACTGCCTGCAACTGAAGGATGCTGTGGCCAAGGCCAAGAAATGGCTTCATGAAGCTGAAGCCCTCCAGGTAAAGTGGGATTCTTGTTGAACATTTTCACTGAGAGCACCCTGGTTGTCCATCTAAATGTTTCCTTTGCGCCATTGCAGCTCGGGGGACGTATTCCCGTGCTAGAAAACCTCTCTGAGCTGGTTCTCAGAGCAGAGGGTATCCCAGTGAGACTCGACCCTCTCAGTCGATTGGAAGCTCTGGTCAGTGACGTGCAAGCCTGGAAGGAAAGCGCAACAAAAACGTTCCTGCTCAAAAATTCACCCTTTTCTCTTTTGGAGGTTTGTCAAGCATTGTAATATTCCTTGGATTTACAGTCATTCTTTCACTGTCTGCACCACAAAAAATTTGAACATATGACGTGTGATATTTTGATGTTTTTTGTATTTACCAAAACTAATCTATGGTATATCTGGTCAAAGAGTTGATGAAACTGTACTTTAGTAACCTCCTCATTAATGGATGACAGTTTTTTTTTTGTTTTTTTTTTGTTTTTTTTTACAATGCGTCTTTATTTGTATAGCGCTTTCACAACAGCTGCAGCTGTAACAAAGCGCTTTACAGAACAATTAACATAAAATAACAAAATACGGGAATATTCCACTTGCAGGTACTGTGCCCGAGATGTGACATAGGAGCTGGGCTTCATGGATCAAGACATAGAAAAACAAAAGAGGGAACACATATCAGTAAGAGATCCCCCGTAAAGCTGGACTCGCTCTACGATGTGGAAAAAGCACTTTCGGAAAGCAAAAACTCCGCCTCTGCTGTAAGTGTCATTCTTCTCCACAAAGGAAAACCGGTTTTGTTCTACTGTCAGCTTACCTTCATTAAGTACTATAATTAATTTGATTTGATGTTGTTGGAGGAAATATTCAAGGACACTTATCATTTTTTGGGACCATAATTAGCCTGAGCCAGGAGAATATGTATATATTTGGTTCGTATAGTGTATGTTAGGCAAATACTACTGCACTTAATATGAATTAGACTGACATTTTAATTACGCTTGCTTGTGAGGAAGCCCTATAACATGATCTCTGTGAATATTAAAAATCTTCTCTCGTCACAGATGGCCACCCTTGATGACGTCCGCGACAAAGAAATGGAGACCTTGTTGGCTCTGAGGGCTTCAAACGAATCCAAGCTCCTTTCTGCTGAGAACTGTGGTGCACTTAGTGTTTGTGTTTGCCATAAGGCGCCGTCAGGGGCCATGGTGCAATGTGAGCTCTGTCGGGAGCTTTTCCACAGCGGGTGCGTTGTAGCAAGCGCGGACCTCAAATACGGCCAAGTCTGGCTTTGCCCCTTTTGCCAGCGTTCAAGGAAGCCACCCCTGGACAAGGTCTTGCCCCTGCTGGCGTCACTGCAGAGGATCCGGGTCCGACTGCCCGAGGGAGACGCGTTGCGCTTCCTCATCGAGCGGACGGTGCAATGGCAGCACAGAGTTCAGCAGGCCTGTACGGATGGGCTGCTAGAGGAAGTGTCAAAGGTGGTCAGATTTGCATTCAGGCATGTGGTGTTGTTTAGCGTTTGTTATAATTTCCGTTTTTGTTTCAGGCAAAGTACAGATCAAGAGTATCGCCAAAGAATGGCGTTTTTTACACGGAACACCAGTGTGTTCCTGTCCAGGGTTAGTTTTCTTTCTTTTTCTTTATTTGTTTTTCTTTTTAATGTTGAAGCCAATTCTGAATGCCCTTTGCAGGACCTGGCCCAGAGCTGGAGGAGCTGATGGTGGAGGGGTTCCTACTGCAAGTCACACTTCCAGAGACCGAGCAGCTGTACACATACCTTCTGTACAAACTGGCTCCTATGCCCACTCACAAACCCAACTGTAGAAAAAGTGCAGAAGATGACGAGCTGCAGAGAACAAAACACCACAAAAAGGTATTAACTTAATTGGGGATCTTCTCTGTTTCTGCTGCATCTCCTTGAGTCGACTAATGGCAACTACAGGAATACAAAATCACATTTATCTCGGGTTTGTGTCAACAGAGTGGAGGCTCGAATCACAATAAAGAGGCACTGAGCATTCAGAGCAAAAGGACCAAGCGACGCAAGGAAAGCTCTGATTCTCAGCACTCTGGGAAGGCCAAGAGGTGTTGCAAAAAGAAGTCTAAGAGGAGACATGACCGGAGTGAAGAAAGGAGGAGGAGTTGCTCCCCCATGCACAGAGCGTCAGAACCCTCCGCATCTGCGTCCGATTCGGATGAGGACTACTCGTTGTGCGCCGCGCCGTGGTGCAGGGAGCCGGAAGGAGATGAGGTGTGTGACGATTAAGCAGCACACAAGACAGACAACCCTCAACTAGTTGGCTAATTTTTACTATAATAATCCTCTTTGTTGTTTTGTTTTTTTTCACTTTCTAGTTAAACTGGGTCCAATGTGATGGCAGCTGCAATCAGTGGTTCCACCAAGTCTGCGTGGGACTGTCTGCGGAGCGTGCAGAGATGGAAGACTATATTTGCATAAGCTGCACACAGCCAGACTTTGACAGAGGGGACTAAAGACCAAAAAGTGACTTTTTGAAGGATCCGCAGTTGATTTACAGCACGCAGCACTCGAAGTGCACAGCCGAACTCTGCACCCTTTCCCTTGTGGCTTGCCCTTAGTGAACACGGTGCTAATCACTCGTCTCCTGCGTTACAACAGACTCGTGTCACTGTTTTTGCCATGTGGCTGCTTCTTCAGCCAATCCACTCCAAAACGTTCCAGGATGAACAGCGCAGGGACTTTTTTTTTATCCAAAAGTCAATTGAAGTCACGTCTGTTTTTTTTTCCCCAGCATGCATCTAAACAACGTGAAATTTCACCTGGAGAGGAAATACTATTCATCAAAGCAATAACCGAACTCATTAATTCCAGTTCAGTTTCAACTCAGCTCAGAAATCCCAATAGAATGAATGCCTTCTTGAATTGAAACCCTGCTAAGACTTCACCTCTTGAATCTGATGTTACAAAACAGGTCAGGTGAAAAGTTGTGAACACAAAAGTTAGGAAAGCTCCCAGAGATGCGATTTGTTTGGGGGGGTTGATTATTCACCGTTGTCCCTTTACAAGTTCTCAGATATGATTTAAAGTTAGTCACATTTTTTTGGGGATGGGGTGATGTACTAGGGAGAATTTTTTTTGTTCTGTTTTTTTTTTTTTTTTTTTTTGTCAACGTTCCATGAGAATTGATGTTCACAAAGTGAGAATGAACTGTCCGACATCCAAGGAATGTACATTTTCTTTTTAGGGTGCAGCTTTCCTGTAAGATTTAGGTTGAACATATTGTGTTGGATTTAGATTTAACACAGATTGTGTGATTTATTCGCCACGGGTATGACCTTTTTCTGCTCCTTTGGCTAAATAATATAATTCATATGTTGCAGTTTGCAATTTTAAATAATTTAAAAAGTTTTTTTTTTCCCAAATGGCTGGACTTGTTGAACTTCTCATCTATATCCTACTTAGTTTCCTATAAATGGTTCTATGAAATAAAAATTCTGTGATTACAGTACTACTTTAAATATTGTCTGACTGAAAGAAACTCGAGGGTGGGGCTCAACAATGTGTTCACATGAATCATTAGTGTACTGTATATGCAAATCGTGAGACCAAACTTTAATTTCACATCCGTAGCAGATGTGCCACCTGCTCATTTTGGGTCTGTTTAAGGCCCAGAATCATTAGCTACATTTTCCCCTTTAAATAAGAGCGTAGGCTGCATTATCATGTGAATACCATGAGTTTGTGTGGTGTGTTCATTTGACATTCTAGATTAATTTTCATGTGTGTGTGTGCGTGTGTCTGTATGTGTGTGAGAGAGAGATTACATGTTATAGTCTGGATGGACCCTGCAAGGATGGGTTTTTTTGGTACAATACTGTCAAATCATTGTGTGAAGTTTAAAAAAAAAAACAAGACATGCATTTTCTTTTGCTAAAAAAATAGATGTATCGCATACAGTTTGTATATAAAGGTGGGCACTTCATTTATCCTTTGCATATTCCAACAGTTCTTGAGTCTCATTTCCCCCAGAAATTAGAACAGCTGTTTTTAAAATGTTGTTTTTTTTTTCCACCCCAGCAGTAAAAATACTCTCATTTTAGAATTCACTGACAACACTGAAATACCAACTGTCTTGGTCCATAATGCTGCTAGTTGCTGCTTCAGACAATTGTGAACGCTATGTCAATTTTACATTGCGTGTACCAGGGTTTCGGGTTGGCGTGGCTGCTTTAGAGTGCCTCATTGTTGAGGCATGGAAAAGACCCGTAACACACGGGTGGGATATCCTCCAGCCAACGCAGGCTATAAACGGATATATTTTCGCGGTGTATAAGCAGAACTATGCAAGGCAAAGTAGCATCCATTTTTCAATTCGTAGGATGGAGTGGTATTTGATTGACAGTTGAGGGGGACATGTCAACTCATCCAGCAGACAAGCACACAGTGTTCCAGATCAAAAAAAACTGCTTGTTTTTCATGACTTTGAAGCCTCAGAAATGATTTTTTTTTTAAATCGTTCGAAATTTGACAGGGTTTGTAAGAAAACAGCTGAGTCAAATTTACAACGCATTTTCACTCCGCAGTGACTAAATGATCTTCCAGGCCATGGCAGAAGTACAGTAAAATTTACCTCTCTTGCGTCATCACCCGTTGTCATTCGAGCACCAGAATAAACATTGTGTTCCACTCAATTTGTGAAGATTTTTTTCACGAAAAAAATGCTTTTTTGTGATTTATGTGCCTTGGTTAGGAGACACTAGTCTTTTGTCTAGTTTATTTATGACCATTCTGAACATTTTTACAGAGTCCATTATTATTCCATAATTAGAATACTGTATCTCGAAGGGTGACCCCCCCCAAAAAGGAATTTAAATATAGTGGGCTCGTAACGACTTCGTTTTAATCCCAGTGAGCTAAATTGTGCCTGACAGAACAAACTCGGGAAAAAAAATATATGAAGGCGTGGCTTACGGTTCACCGCCTCGCCATTTTCTTCCAGTTGTTATTAGCCACCTGGCTAGCTCATTCAAAGATCGTCACAGTGTTTCATGCGGTAAGGATACAAACTACCGGTTACTGCAATTAATTAAATTCTACTCACCCGTTCCCGTCAACATGGACGAGGAATATTATAGTGGCGCTGGGGACTGGGAAGGCCCGGACGCTAACACGGTAAGACTTTTGACTGTTTGGCTGGTTATTGTGAGCTAGCATGGCAATTGAATAGGAACAACAGTCAACGATGTCTTTACACATCAGCCGTAGAATATTAATTGTTCAGGTGTGGGCGAATTGCTTAGGAATGGAAGATAAAGTTCATTGGCTACGACATGCACATTTCACATTGAATTGACTTACTTTCTTAGAGATTCAAACTGACCAAGATAAATTACTTTTAAACTTTTCTCCACCAATAATGTGATCTAAGAATTCCACTACTAGATTGGGAGATATCTTTTCGAGAGGTGAAGTTTAAAAAAAAAAACTGGATTAACGCGGTTGCACAAGTGTGCACACACTCTTGTACATGGGGATGTAGATGTGTTTGGTGCCCTGTAACTGACTGGCGACCAGTTCAGGGTGTACTGCGCCTTCCGCCCGAAGTCAGTCGTTATAGGTAAAATGTCACATGAACCACTCTTGCAGTGCAGCGCTTCACTTAGCAGAAACATCCATCCCATTATCTATAAAACATAAAAACAGTCTTGCCATTTTCTTCCAGGAGGATGCGTATGTTGACGTCGAAAATTTGGGGAAAATCCAGGAGGATTGTCTGAAGAAATTTTCCAGCAGGGATTACATCATGGAGCCTGCCATTTTCAACACCCTCAAAATGTACACACTTGTCTGTTTTCATGCAAGTCATGGCATCTTTTGATTCATTTATTTCACCAAATCTGCAATTGGCTGGCTACCAGTCCAGGGTGTACCCCGCCTACTTCCCAAAGTCAGATGGGATAGGCTCCAGCACACACATGACCCTCGTGAGGATAAGTGGATTAGAAAATGGATGGATGGATGGATGGATAGGTCCTAAAATATGACAAGGACAATAAAGTTGAGCTACTCTTGTATTTTTATTGTAGGTATTTCCAGGCGGGTGGTTCTCCAGAGCACGTCATCCAGCTTCTGTCGGAAAACTACTCTGCCGTAGCTCAGACCGTGAACCTTTTGGCGGAATGGCTCATCCAGATGGGTCGGTAGCTTCTCCCACCGCGCCTCTGCTTCTCCACACCGTGCGTGCTGTGGGCCTCGTTCATTTCGCTTGAATTTTCATGTGCTTTCCAGGTGTTGAGCCAGCGCAAGTACAAGAACGAGTTGAGAATCATCTGAAGAGTCTGCTGATAAAGCACTTTGACCCCCAGAAAGCAGATTCCATTTTCACCGTAGAGGGCGAGGTACCAATGAGCTAATAATGCAGTCAAGTCGCTTTCCTAAAATAATGCCAGAAGCTTTGAAATGGTTTATCACTTTCCCATTTTTTTGTTTGTTTATTTAATATGAAAAACCCCTGCTATTTTTAAGAGTTGCGTGATCACTTTCTGCATTCACAATAAGGCACAATCAGATTGAAAAGTGGATGAGATTCAGAATGTGTTTGTAGACTCCCGCTTGGCTGGAGCAGATGATCGCTCACACGACGTGGCGAGACCTCTTCTACAAGCTTGCCGAGGCTCATCCCGACTGTCTGATGCTCAACTTCACCGTGAAGGTAGAAACTATTTTTTTTTTAATCCGAGTAATTTGTGCATAGAGGGCCTCAGTCAAATCCAGCTGTAAAAGAAACGTGTGCTGTGTAGCTGATTTCAGACGCAGGCTACCAGGGCGAGATCACCAGTGTGTCGACGGCGTGCCAGCAACTGGAGGTTTTCTCTCGTGTGTTGAGGACATCTTTAGCCACGCTGCTGGATGGAGGAGAGGAGAACCTCGAAAAGAACCTGCCAGAATTTGCTGTGAGCCCCATCTTGACAATTCCCAACAGTGTGTAGTTATATCTATGTTTGATAGTTTGATGAGTTGTTCTTTCTTTCTGTCCCCCCCCCCCCCAATTTCCCTGATTTTTGGTTTCATCTAGAAAATGGTGTGTCACGGTGAGCACACATACCTCTTTGCCCAGGCTATGATGTCCATTCTGGCCCAGGAGGAGCAAGGCGGCTCCGCTGTGCGCCGGATTGGTCAGGAGGTGCAGAAGTCGGCCCACAAGAGGTGCTCTACAAGCGGGTGCAAATTCCCCAGGCAGACACCAATGACTGACATGTTATACATTTATGCAATAGAAATCCATTGCACATGACCAAAAAAAACGCCACTGCACTGGACTAACTTAAAGATGCCAATTTAATACTGGCCTTAAGGTTGTCAGTTGAACATTATCTTTGGCACATCTGTTCATTGCGTCTTGTGTTGCGTCAGGGGCCACGACGCCAGTCAGATAACGCTGGCGCTGGGTACGGCAGCAGCCTACCCTCGTGCCTGCCAGGCGCTGGGGGCCATGTTGTCCAAAGGAGCCCTGAATCCCGCTGATATCACCGTGCTGTTTAAGATGTTCAGCAGCATGGACCCGCCTCCTGTGGAGCTGGTGAGGAAAGCCCGCACGTACAGTGACATCGTAGCATAACTAGAACATTTGAAATGTTCTTCCATTGTAAACCAGACTTTTTTTTTTTGGCCCATTTAAATCATCCATTTAAAATTGGAAGACTCGAGGCTATAGATTTGAGGATTTCCTGTTTCGTGTTCCTCAGATCAGAGTGCCTGCTTTTCTGGACCTTTTCATGCATTCGCTGTTCAAGCCTGGCTCCAAGATCAACCAAGACCACAAGCACAAATATATCCACATCCTGGCGTACGCTGCCAGCGTGGTCGAGACGTGGAAAAAGGTTTTGACCTCTCACCTTTTGTGCTTTTAAAACTAAACGCGAAGGGCCAAACTGACCTTTTCCGTTCTGGTCTCAGAACAAGCGAGTGAACATCAACAAGGACGAGCTTAAATCATCCTCAAAGGCCATCGAGACGGTGCACAACCATTGCTGCAACGAAAACAAAGGCGCCACAGAGTTGGTGGCTGAACTCGGAACGTTGTACCAGTGCATACGGTGGGTGGCCAAAACCAAATGAAAACGCTAATGAAAAATCCCAAACTATTATTACCTTGCTAATTCAAAATCAATGGACGTTAATCAGTAGGTGGCTTTGGTTGTTCTGGTGTCAATGGTCCCTCAGATTCCCAGTGGTCGCAATGGGGGTTTTGAAGTGGGTGGACTGGACCGTGTCGGAACCCCGCTACTTTCAGCTGCAAACGGATCACACGCCGGTCCACTTAGCTCTGCTGGATGAGGTACAGAGAGAGAGTTGAAGTCTTTTTTTTTTTTCTTCTAAAAGGCCAACTAACCTTGGCCTTCCGTTTCCCCGGCAGATCTGCACGTGTCACCAGCTGCTGCATCCTCAAGTTCTCCAGCTGCTCATCAAGCTCTTTGAGACCGAACACTCGCAGCTTGATGTCATGGAGCAGGTGTGTGCGTGTGTTCCTCACTTCAGGTATTCTCAAGTGACGACACCTTTTGTCTTTGCTCCCAGCTGGAGCTCAAGAAGACCCTCCTGGATCGGATGGTTCACCTGCTGAGTCGTGGTTATGTCCTGCCCGTGGTTGGCTACATTCGCAAGTGTCTGGAGAAGCTCAACACAGACATCTCCCTCATTCGCTATTTTGTCACCGAGGTAACGACTCCAACGGGGAGAAATTAAAATATTGGCTCTGATAGTCGCACTCAAAAAAAAAGGCCAAACCAAAATATATTTAGTCTGTGAATAAAACTGACCCAACGGTCCTGTCCTTGCAAAGGTCCTGGATGTGATCGCACCTCCGTACACGTCGGACTTCGTTCAGCTCTTCTTGCCCATCCTGGAAAACGACAGCATCGCCGGAACAATCCGCACAGAAGGAGAACACGACCCCGTCGCAGAGTTCATCGGTACGCCGATAGCCCTCACCGCCCCAAAACTCACCGAACTACTTTTTGTCATCTTGCTTTTGGAAACTAACAAATTGTTTTATTTTCCAGCTCATTGCAAGTCAAATTTCATCATGATAAATTGAGGACGGTGTGTACCCGGAAAGAAATGATGACGAAGCACAACTTTTTGGACTGACCAGTCTGATGATGCAACTTGGGACTTTTGTGGCCATTGAGGTCATCTTGGAGCTGTCCGAGATGCAGATTCAATACAGCTCCATCTCAGCACAGTGAGTGAGAAGAAGGCCACACAAGCATCACTTTGAAGACTGACATATTTTCAGCAGAATCATTGTGCGGAAAGAAAAAAAAAACAAGTCACACCTTGTAGATTGTAAATGCACGCTTTAATCACCTGTGTAGCACTCACAGCAGCAGAATGTGACAGTGGTTCATCAAGCATATTTATCTTGCTGATTTTTATTGTAAGATGCAAAAGTGTTTTGTGATGGTTGGATCTGCCTGTATTTTCTATTGTGGGGAATTTTTGATACTGTCACACCGATCATGTAAAAAAAATTTTTTTAGACTGTTCAACAATCTGAAAATCACAACAGATCCAACCATTTGGCATTTTAATTTAAAAAGCATTTTAAAAACAGAAAGAAAAATATGTTCCCTTTTCGGTTATGATTAAAACTGGATCCATAGTCCTGGTGTGATCTAGACAAAGTAGTCTTTCGGAACGATAGGGTCTCCATAGGCACAATCCGTCTCCAGTGCCAGGTTGTAGGAACTTCCCCTTCCTCCCTTGTAGGTGCTGGTGACGATCCTGAGCCAGCCCTTCTCACCCTGACGACATGATACTTTTTTCAACACAAGGCCACCGCGTGCACTCGTAATTTGACTTTGTAACTCTTGAGACAAGCGCTTACCCACGGCTCTCCCCAAGAGTTCCGTGCGATCCAGTACTCCACGCCGTTCTCCACTCCCCATCCCGCCACTGACACGATGTGGTTTACGATGGGGTCTTCATCGTACTCGGAGTAGAGACCGCCGTTGTAGTTGTCCAGTTTCTCTGTTGCCATGATACCACAGCTAAAAGCACAAATGCCCCTCGTTATTTGCAAATGATTTGCTGGAACAATCCCGCTCTGCAATCCTACTACAGGTGCAATTCAATAAATTTGAATATGTAGGGAAATTGTATTCTTTCAATTCAAAAAGTGGAACTCGTTCTACAGAATCACCATTCACAAAGTCAAATATTTCATTTAATTTTGTATAACTTTGAAAGCCAAACATTACATTTAGAACTGGGTCATATCAATCCAATTGCATTAGTTGTTCTTTTCCCCCTTTGGCTTCGAAAAAAAAAAAAATGATGATGTACCACACCACAAAATTTTCATACAAAAAAACTGTATGAAAATGATTCCACTCATAATCTGAGTTTTACCAGGAATTAACGTACCCTTTTCTTTTAAAAAAGGGACACTAGAAGGGTCAGAAAAAGTGCTACATTTACTGCTCAAATTGCTAAATTGGCAACACAGACTGCTTTTGTGAAGTCGCTCATCTTTCGGCCATGTTGTTAGTGTAAGCAGTGCATGTAAGGGAGGATACACTTGAAAATACGGAAACCAAAGGAAAAAAAAGAAGTCGAATATCGAACCAATCCTACTTACAGCGAACAAATCCCCCAAATTCATGAGCTCAAGAAACTGGAATTTTACATACGTTTTTTCCTTTAATGGAAATGAGGTTTTCAGTGTGTGATTTTTACATTTCATTGGACCATTTTGTCTTATTTCATTCTATTAGGATCTTATCTTGATTTTCATTCAGTCATGTCTGTAATTATTATTTTGTCTAATGCACGATGGACTTGTGTATGAATGGTGCTCTACAAATAAACTTATCTAACCTTACCCTCTAAAAAATATTTTAATAATGTATAATGAATGTGTGTGACAGTGTCCCCCCCAATATTTGGGTGGGATGGTCACTGAGCCCTGGTGTGAACAGCACAAATCTGCAAATAATTGAAGCCTCCCACCCTAAAAAAGGTTTCTAATTGCCTACATGAAGTTCCTAAAATTACTTTGACAAAGTTCCTTGGCGCCAAAGCAATACTTTTATATGAAACGCCACTTTGGCCTGCACACAAATACAGCAAAAAGATGAAAAATTTCAGCAAATAACAGAGGATACACGACCCCACACCCCCGAAAAAACCATTGTAAATGAGTTTCACCAAGTTAAAATAAATCACCTTTTCTACGATACTCAAATTTCTTCACATTAACTAGTACAAGCAATTGCTCGATGAGTACACTTATGATGTTTCTGAGCTGAACTTGGCAGATTTCAGTAATTATTCAACCAACCTGATCGGTCCTCGGGCATAGATTTCAGCCATCATCTTCTCCCTCCCACTGACCGCCCCGTAATCGCCCACTTTCCACAGGGTGTAGTTCTTCACAACGTTGCAAACGCCGAAGGTGGTACAGGTACCGCACTCGTTGAATGGTTTACATTCTACGGAAAAGGGATGGCAGAATATAAAACGGGTTGGGGGATAGCGGGGGGCTGTTCGGTCGCTGTCACTCAGAGAGCCTCACTCTGGTCTTTGGCCTGGTAGTTATTGCACGTCTCATCCGGGATGCCGTGGGTGTTGGCGTATTCCCACACCCCGCCATGATCGCCGCCGTGACAAGTGCCGGCTCCTCCGCAGTCCACCACGTGCTGCACGGAGAGGTAGGCGGACGGCCACGCCCCTTGCCGCTTAATATTGATGCGATCTGGACAATAAAAAAAAAATTAAAAAATAAAAAAAACTGTTAAAATGCCTCAAGTGTCACTTTGTCCAGCGCAACTTCCTTGAGTAGTCATTTCTTCTACCATATTACCCAAACTTTAAAGGGGAAGTTGCATCAAAAAACGTTTTTACAATATGTTAACCACAGAATTCTGCAAAACAGTTATGGAGTACAGATTGAATAACAAAATCCACCCGTCTCAGGGGATGGCCATTTTGCCACTTGCTGATAGATTTTGAAAAATTGTCATTTGATAACGATAACGTGTTTGACACAAGGAGAGAAGATGGGTCCAACCTGCCATTGCGCTGGTGCTGCCGTGAGCCCAACATGAGCCGCAGTACTGAGGAATGTGCTGGTTGCGGGTGGTGCTAACATAGTTGATCCCGCCAACGTTCCTCCAGTCCCACGACTTGGGCAAATCAGAGATGTTTAAATACTCGTGAGGGCGAGGCGAGTTCCTGAAAAGACAAACACACAGGCTGAATTTTTATTTTCCGATGAATCCATATGTTCGGTGAAATTACTTGATTCAGCCTGCCCGAAAGACCACCATTGCCTAAAAATAGTTACTTCTCAAGAACAGGCATTTTTTTGGTGGTTTTCTGAAACAAAATAAGATATGCTGTCTCAGTAAAACTAAACGGGCTGTGATTTATATCGCGCTTTTCTACCTCGAGTACTCAAAGCGCTTTACACGGTTTACCTTATTCGCCTACTGATGACGTAGCATCAGGAGCAACTGGACAAGAACACTTCGACTTAGTTGCGAGTCGAAGTGCCAACCTGTGGGTTGGGAAACGACAACGCAACCACGGAACAATGCCGCCCCTACAGGATTACTGTATGTATGGAATACAACTAGTTTATTGAGACGTGGACATTGCACAGGGACTATTGAAAAATATATTTGAAAATGTAATCATTTGCACTGATTTGTCTAGTAATTTGTTTTGTGATAAATGTGTTGTATTATAAAGACAATTGTGGAGACTTCACGCACACCCTGATTAATGAATCATATTATTTTGATACATTTAATATGGCCGTCTGAGGACCGAACAGGAAAAAAAAAAACAGTTCTCACCAATGTGCCATTAAAAAAAATTAATTATGTCAAACTTCCTCATTTTCTACCAGCAGTGTACACAACATAACAGTTGACTTCCGAATTGTGAAACAAATGATTATCCAAGCGCGTTTGCGGTCTATTAAACAATTAACGCAGTGATTCATAGATGTATTATATATCTTATCACTTCATGTGGTTTCCCGTGTCGTCCCTTCGAACTCGTGACTGCCGACATGTTAGCCATGTGGCTAAGTATGTAGGAAATTTGCTCAAAACATCCAACTTACCTCAGTCCGAAGCCGTTTGTCCTCGGCGTGGGGACATAACAGGGCTCTTTACTGTTAAAATACAGTCCGGCTGACGCGGCAGACAGCAAAACGCAAAATAAAACAACGGACCCCACGTTGGCCATTTGGGCAAGCAGTTTACCGGTAACTTTTAGGAGCGACTCGTTTCTGTCGATGTCACATGACACTGAATCACGGCATCATCGGAGCGTCAGATGGACTTAACGATGTCAACAGCGCCGACTAGTGGCTTGTAAAACAAGTACTGCTGTGCTGTGAAGCTCTTAAACTTTATGGTTGGAAGGAAATACTGGTCGAAGTCCTGTTGAGTAGATTTACTACTTCAGATTTATTTTTTTACGAGGAGGTGACTGATTAAACTGCTTTACTGACATCTTAAAAAGGCTGAAATTAAAAATAAATCACAAAATACAGACTATGAAATTGAAATGCACCCTTTTGTTGAAGGAAGAAATCTTCCACAATTATCACAAACATCATGCTTTACTTTTACTTAAATAAATAAATACATAAATAAAAAGGTCCAATGACCAGTAATTTGCTCTACTTTACACATGATTATTTCATTTATTGTGCTGGAACGATATTCGCATACATGGCAATGGCGAGTGATGAAAAAAGCGGAAGGGGCGTGGCCTGGACGGGGGCGTGGCCTGGACGGGGGCTTGGTTACTTACAAAAGTGGCACTAAACATGCTGAAGATGAAGTGTATTAAATTTACACAGTTTGAAAATTGAACAGAAAAAAATCCCAAGATCGCCACTATTCTTTCAAGTGAAAATTTGTGCAATTTTGCCTATGCATTCCTGGTGAGCACCAATATGTAACTCCAAATTTGCTGCTCAAAATCAAAACTAAAAAAGTAAACACATTCCCTGCCATAT